AGGCTCTCTGCACAGGTTCTACTGTGGAGAATGATTTGAAAGAGCAATCTAGGGATCAGAAGGAGACCCCATCGACCAGAAGGCATGAGATGCAGTGTCCTAGGATGGAGGTTCCACGACCACCACTCCCAAGAGGCAGAGACGGGTGGTGGTGGTCGGGCACTCTTCCCTAAGGGGGACAGAGTCATCTATCTGCTGACCAGACTAAGAGACTCGAGGAGTGTGCTGCTTGCCTGGAGCTAGAATTCAGGATGTGACGGAGTGCCTGCCGAGACTGATCAAGCCCTCGGACCGCTAGCCCTTCCTACTTCTCCATGTGGGCACCAATGATACTGCCAAGAATGACCTTGAGTGGGTCACTGCAGACTAAGTGGCTCTGGGAAGAAAGATGAAGGAGTTTGATGCACAAGTCGTGTTCTCGTCCATCCTCCCTGTTGAAGGAAAAGGCCCAGGTAGGAACCATTGAATTGTGGAGGTAAATGTGTGGTTATGCAGGTGGTGTCGGAGAGAGGGCTTTGGATTCCTCAACCATGGCATGTTGTTCCAGGAAGAAGGATTGCTAGGAAGAGATGGGATCCACCTAACAAAGAGAGGGAAGAGCATCTTCGCAGACAGGGTTCTTAACCTAGTGAGGAGGGCTTTAAACTAGGTTTGCCAGGGGACTGTGACCTAAGCCCTGAGGTAAGTGGGATATCGGGAGGAAACACAAGGAGGAGGATGCAAGAGGGGGGCCTCCTGATTCATACTGAGAAAGCAGGGCAATCGGCTAGTTATCTTAGGTGCATGTAAATGAACCAAGAGTGATGTCGTGGTGGCTGTGTGCCATAGACCACCGGACTAGGAGGATGAGGTAGATGAGGCTTTCTTCAGACAACTAACAGAAGTTTCCAGATCACAGGCCCTGGTTCTCATGGGGCACTTCAATCACCCTGACATCTGCTGGGAGAGCAATACAGCAGTGCACAGACAATCCAGGCAGTTTTTGGAGAGTGTTGGGGACAACTTCCTGGTGCAACTACTGGAGGAACAAACCAGGGGCCGTTCTCCTCTTGACCTGCTGCTTACAAACAGGGAAAAATTGGTAGGGAAGTAGAAGTGGGTGGCAACCTGGGCAGCAGTGACCATGAGATGGTTGAGTTCAGGAGCCTCACAAAAGGAAGAAAGGAGAGTAGCAAAATATGGACCCTGGACTTCAGAAAAGCAGACTTTGACTCCCTTAGGGAACTGATGGGCAGGATCCCCTGGGAGGCTAAGATGAGGGGGAAAGGTGTCCAGGAAAGCTGGCTGTATTTTAAAGAAGCCTTAATAAGGGCACAGGAACAAACCATCCCGATGTGCAGAAAGAATAGCAAATATGGGAGGCGACCAGCTTGGCTTAGCAGTGAAATCTTCAGTGAGCTTAAACACAAAAAGGAAGTTTACAAGAAATGGAAACTTGGTCAGATGACTAGGGAGGAGTATAAAAATATTGCTTGAGCATGCAGGGGTGTAATCAGGAAGGCCAAAACACAACTGGAGTTGCAGCAAGCAACAGATGTGAAGAGTAACAAGAAGGGTTTCTACAGGTATGTTAGCAACAAGAAAAAGGTCAGGGAAAGTGTGGGACCCTTAATGAATGGGGGAGGCAACCTAGTGACAGATGATGTGGAAAAAGCTGAAGTACTCAATGTTTTTTTTGCCTCGGTCTTCACAAAGTCAGCTCCCACACTGCTGTCCTGGGCAACACAGTATGTGGAGGAGGTGAGCAGCCCTCAGTGGTGAAAGAACAGGTTAAGGACTATTTAGAAAAGCTGGACATGCACAAGTCCATGGGTCCAGATCTAATGCATCTGAGGATGTTGAGGGAATTGGCTGATGTGATTGCAGAGCCATTGGCCTTTATCTTTGAAAACTCGTAGCGATCAGGGGAGGTGATAGGAAAAAGGCAAATATAGTACCCATCTTTAAAGAAGGGAAGGAGGAGAACCCAGGGAACTACAGACCAGTCAGCCTCACCTCAGTCCCTGGAAAAATCATGGAGCAGGTCCTCAAATAATCCATTTTGAAGCATTCAGAGGAGAGGAAGGTGATCAGGAACAGTCAGCATGGATTCACCAAGGGCAAGTTATGCCTGACCAACATAATTGACTTCTATGATGAAATAACTGGCTCTATGGATATTGGGGAAAGCGGTGGATGTGACATATCTTGAATTTAGCAAAGCTTTTGATATAGTCTCCCACAGTATTCTTGCCAGCAAGTTAAAAAAGTATGGATTGGATGAATGGACTATAAGGTGGATAGAAAGCTGGCTAGATTGTTAGCCTCAATGGGTAGAGATTAAAGGCTCAATGTATAGTTGGCAGCCAGTATCTAGCAGAGTGCCCCAGGGGTCGGGAAGCTGCTATAAATGTGAGGTGTCTTGCAGAGGACCCTGGGTCTCATCTTGTGAACATGGGAGCATCGATCCGGATCGGCAGAAGCCCGGCTCCACCCCTTCCCCCATGTAACTCACCTGGCCAGTGAAGTTAAGGGGAGCAACTAATTGGTAACAACAAGAAGACAGGAGTGTGCTTGTGTGTGTGTGTGTGTGTGTGTGTGTGTGTGTGTGTGAGTGCATGAGTGTAATATATATATCATATGCATATGATGTGTTAATTAATACATGTATTACTAATAAAAGTGGCGTTTTGCCTTATTCCCCCTGAAAAGATCCCGTGCAGTACTTTAAGTACAACAGCCACACCTGGAGTATTGCGTTCAGTTTTGGGTCCCCCACTACAGAAAGGATGTGGACAAATTGGAGAGAGTCCAGCAGAGGGCAACGAAAATGATCACGGGGCTGGGGCACATGACTTATGAGGAGAGGCTGAAGGAACTGGGCTTGTTTAGTCTGCAGAAGAGAAGCGTGATGGGGGATTTGATAGCAACCTTCAACTGCCTGAAGTGGGATTCCTGAGAGGATGGAGCTTGGCTGTTCTCAGTGGTACCAGATGACAGAACAAGGAGCAATGATCTCAAGTTAAAGTGGGGGAGGTCGAGGTTGGATATTAGAAAACACAATTTGACTAGGAGGGTGATGAAGCACTGGAATGGGTTACCTAGGGAAGGGGTGGAATCTCCATCCTTAGAGGATTTTAAGGCCTGGCTTGACAGAGCCCTGGCTGGGATGAGTTAGTTTGTGTTGGTCCTGCTTTGAGTGGGGGTTGGACTAGATGACCTCCTGAGGTCTCTTCCAACCCTAATCTTCTATGATTCTCTCTGTGCTTCATGAAACTTTGGATCCAAACGGTAAAAGACAGTTGTGCCCAATTTAATCATGGCATCCTTTAGGAGTGTGATCAATGCCACTTAACAAGGGAGCAGTGTTCTAAAAATAGTCTTCCTGGGCCACAGGTCAACATAGCGTCCATCTCTGGGGTGAAAATCAACTACTAGTACCGGCAATTTCTATCTGAGTTCTTGTCAAATCTTTGACCTTACTTGGAATAATTTTACACTTCTCTGGCATAGAATTCTTCACCAACCACACAACATATCAGTAGCGATGAGCTGAACAGAAATGTCACTTCCATTTTTCCCATCTCTACCTAGATAGGGATTGCATTTCCCAAATAATAGGCAACATGCACCTGATTAGGAAGGAGATATCTTCAAGAGCGACCTCCTGCAGAGCCCGTGCCACAACTGCTTTGGGAGCCCAATGCATGGGTATTTTGCTTAGTTCCAAGTCATTTACTAGGGAATCCTCTTCCCAGCCCTTTAGAAAAAATATTGACCTAACCAATTGAACAACAGGGGGGATTGGGATGGTGATGGGGAATAAGGGAATCCCTCTGACCTACCCTATCTTCTTCTGTTGTTTCAGAGGGTGAAATGACATTTTTCCCTATCCCTGCCCTCTTCCTGCTTTTTGTTATAGTTCAATATATTTTAAGTGAGGAAAATGGTAGTAAAAATATCTGCTCACACACAACAACATGAAGCAACATCAGAACAACTGGGAATGAAACAACTTGTTCCCGAAGGGGGAACTTGATGACTAACAATTGCTTTGAAATGGGGGAACAGTATAACCGTGATGCTCAGGGTTTGTTTAGATTAGGAAAAGTGATGGAGTTTAGGTCAGGTCAAGGGGGAACCTAATGCCAACCACTGCACCTGGGCTGCATCTGCTCTACAACTATAATTGTCTTTTTATACCAAGATCACTAACTTGAGCAGCCAATGCCATGTACAGTCCTAGTGGATGTAAGGCACAGGTAGTTTTTGCCTCAGTGTACCTTGTTTTATCAAACCTCTCTCCCCCACCTGGAGCTGATGAACATTCCTGGCTGGAGGGAGACACACTCCTACGACTCAAAAGGAAAGGAGTTGACAGAAAAGATCACAGGACTGACTCCAAAGAAGGTGAGCTGCAAAAGGCAGAAGCAGGCAACTCATCTGGTGGAGCTGAGAGACCATGGTGAAGATGGTGCAAAATTCTTTCGCCAGCCCTAGTCAAGGCATTTATTACAGTTCTCTCTCATGTGGATTTTCTGATGTGTAATAAGGCTTGAGCTCTGATTGAAACTTTTCCCACACTCAGAGCATGTGTAGGGTGTCTCCCCTGTATGGATTCTCTTATGTCGGATAAGGTGTGAGCTCCGACTGAAGGTTTTCCCACACTCAGAGCATGTGTAGGGCCTCTCTCCTGTGTGGATTCGCTGATGTGAGATACGGGCTGAACTATGAATGAAGCATTTCCCACACTCAGAGCATTCATAAGGTTTCTCACCCGTGTGGATTCTCCGATGTGAGACAAGGTTTGAGCTGTGAGTGAAGCTTTTCCCACACTCAGAGCATGTGCAGAGTTTCTCTCCTGTGTGGGTTCTCCGATGTGTGATAAGGGCTGAGTGCCCACTAAAGCTTTTCCCGCACTCAGAGCATGTGTACGGCTTCTCCCCTGTGTGGATTCGTTGATGTGAGATGAGGGCTGAACTATGAATGAAGCATTTCCCACACTC